ATGTGGGAAAAGGTGGCCTAAACCTTTTGTACTTTTAGTGAGTGGTTGGTGGAAGGGGACGGGTACCACCCTCCTCATACTTTGCTATAGCTAGGAGTGGCAGTTTCAGTAATCCTGGTTACCTGTGGGAAAAGGTTGGGCCTAAAATTTGTATTTCAGCGAGCAAGTGATGGGGAACGAGGCAAGTGACAGTGCTGGGAAGGACAGGCACAAACTCCTCACTACTCTGACTATAGTTAGAGTGTGCAGTTGCAAGTAATTCCCTTAGGTACCTGTGGGAAAAGGTGGCTAAAACCTTTGGTAATTGAGCGAGCAAGTGATTCATTGCTGGTGTTGGAGCAGGTCTCGGGTGGAGAGGCACATTGGCTACATGGGTAGAGGGTGGGGGATAGGAGGAGTACAGTCCCATTCCCATTCCACACCCTGCCCAGGGCCAGCGTCACATTCCGTTCCTCTAGCAGACTAGACTCCGCGAGGTCAAAGGTGAAATTTGCAGTGGCAATCCCGTCTACTGAATTGTCCCTGTTAGTGTCGCTTGTCCAGACCACGCCCACTCCAGAGACCATGACAACTAGCTCCACCCCCTGGGCCACATAGTTGAACGAGAGACGGCAATATGTGTCTCCAGGGAACTGCCGACCCAGTACCATTCCACCAGAATGGGACTCTGACACACTCAGTTTCACTGCAACACCTGTACACAGTTAATATCATTTAGCACACACTGAGACCATGGAAACTACAGCGTCCTTTCACTTCAGATAAACACGGGTAGCGGCACAGGATGTACCTGACCACATTCAAATTTTTAAACTTCATTGCTCAAATGCTATATACGATGCCAAGGAATAAGATTCAGACTTGTGTATTAAGAAGACTGGTATACCATTAGCCAGGGTGTCAAAGGTGGCATGTTCCCCGAGACTCCACCCACAAGCCACACCCCCCTCAAACTGGCAGGTGACGACATCACTACAGTTGTCCTCCGGTCCCTCCTCTATTGTGAACTCAATTTCAGCCACGCCCACTAATTTGTTGACTGGTGGACTGGCATAATCTGAACCAACCACAGAGATCGAGACCTTATAGTGAGAGGGGGAGAGGGAGGGAAGGAAGATCATTCAAACACACCGGAGACGCTATAGCTAGTCCCTCTGTGAGCTGAGCAAACGAGGTTCCCAAATTTTTATTGTAGTGACATGGAGTTGGGAAGACTGAACTACAGAAAGCTCATAGTTAGTGCACAGAGCTGTAGCTGATGGGCTGTTGACACATGAAGCAAAACTGAAGGGCAGTATACTGTGGCATAGCTCAATACACAGATGACATAGTACAGAGCCACCTAAAAGAGTTACCAAAAGGTTAAATAGGTTTTAGCATGTTTGTGGACAGTGGTGGTTTAATGCGCAGGCTTTAGTGATGTTACCTACAAGCTGGGGGAGGCTCCATGGTAATTAGCTCAGAGGTCAACAAGTTATATTTGTTTATGGTCAACCTCTCTACAACATACACATGCACTGTGTGCTGCGTAAAATTGAATCCTTGCATGGAGAACTGAGGGCACCTATAAAGTGTTTGGCATATGTATAGCTAGACAGTGCACAATTCCAATCACGAGTTGATGTGCTAACTTGCAATAGTCCAGTCTGGACTGACACGTCTGATGGAATGGAACCAACAGAGACGGAGACATTGTGACCTTCGATCTCCGTCGACACATAGCTCTCTAGAACACCAAGCACCACTGCAAACAGTTAGGAAAAAAAGACTCAGTCATTTAGTACCCAAAAACCAAAAAGAATTTTTCCTTGAATTTATTAAACCAAATTATTATACGGTATTCATTACCTCTGATGATATCTACTTGGATCACAGCTTCACGACATTCAGCAAGGACAGTCTGTACGATTATGTGAGGGAAGAATTATTTGTGTACATGCCCCTACCACACACATATGATGTACACTCACTGCAATGACAATCTGAGAGCTTTCTCTGAAGTGGAGGGCGACAGTCTCCGGATAGTCCAGTGAAAACATCCCTATAGCCCCAGAATAGAGAAGTATTATACAGTTATTAGATATTAAGAGAAAGGTTAGACAGCTTGCAATGACACCTTCTCCAATGCTATATAGAACACATGCTTAGGCATTAGGAACTTTCTTTGTTAACCTGGTAGCTAGAAAACATCCAGCCACAGGCTTAAGCACTACAGCTCTTGAGGGCTTCAACAAGTCGCCTTTTAGAACTCACTGGTGACAGAGCCGGTGGAGGAAGATATGGCAGACTCACCAGGAAGATGGAGGGAGGAAAAGTCACAGGGAAGACAAAAGTCCAGCTGTAGTCTATCAACCCTGGCTCCTCCACTGGTGCCGTTAGCCTGCACTACCATCTCCAGATGACCGCTCAGGGACAGAGTGAGATAGTCCACATCTAGTGCCTCTGATGTGGTCACCTTTTTTCGGGAAGAGTAAAACGAGGAGTTCCCATTGATGTGGAGGCAATGAGTGTGGTTCAATACTATACGTAAGTGAATAGGTGATATGGCATAAATCTTTTTGTATTAGCTAGGAATTCTATCGTGGTGCGGCTAAGCGTGCAGAGCAAATCACTCATTAACAGAGATGTATTGACTGTACCTACTTATTACCTATCTATGAGAGCACAATGGCAAAATGGCGGGGAACTACCGAGGTTTGCATACCCAACGATACTTGGCAGTTTAGATCATCTGACCTGCTTCCATTTGTCACCAGTGTCTCCACTGTCCTCCCACAGCACACTTCCTCCCCCTCCTCCCACCCTCACCTGGAGCCCCGCCCCTCCCCACAGCTGGTACGAGAAGCCATACCCACACGAGTACCCTGCCGCCACATGCCGCAGGATGACCTCTGAACTCTGTCCGTAAACAATGGTTTCCACAACTCTACCTGCATCAAGGCACAACAATCGTATGACACTGGGTTTTTCCATGCTCACTAAGCTGAAGATCCTGCAAGTTCATTATTAACCCTCAGCCTGCATGCACAGCGAGGGTTAAGGTGGTGTGTGGTGTGTTGGTGTGTGTGTGTGTGCAGTTGCTGGCTTTTTTCATGGAGCAAGGGAAGAGACGATTAGCTACAAAAGAATTCTAGGAACTGTGTGTATTTGGAACTGTGTATATTTATGTACATACTCAATAGATTGCTCCCATGGGGAAGGCCATAGATAATAAAGATTACATAACATGCAGCAACGACCAATCAGCGAAATTATTATTGTATTAATTCTATATACCAACCGATCCTGGGATCATCAGAGTGTAAGACATGCTCCAATGTCTACCTCGTGTCTATTGCTGTCTTCATCCTAATGGGCGTGGCTCTGGTTACACTAGTGACTCTACTGGACATGACAGTGTCAGTTGGGACTCTGAATGGACTCATTCTCTTTGCCAACGTCTTGCAAGCCAACAGAAACACATTTCTTCCGCCAACTACTTCCGATACCAGTGCAGGCATTGTGTTCCTCAATGTCTTCATAGCGTGGCTAAACCTGGATGTAGGCATTCCCATGTGCTTTCTTGACGGACTGACAACCTATGCCAAAACATGGCTACAGTTTGTGTTTCCTCTCTACATTCTGGCATTGGTTGGTGCCATAATCATTGCCAGCAAATACTCCACACGAGTGACTCGCCTCCTCGGGACCAACACAGTCTCAGTTCAGGCCACTCTAGTCCTTCTCTCCTACACCAAGATCCTGAGAATCCTCATCACAGCTTTCTCCTTCACCACACTCACTGGGTCACTGGGCTACCATAGTGTGGTGTGGCTGGCTGATGGCAATGTCAAGTATTTTGAGCCCAAACATACTATTCTCTTCCTAGTAGCATTCTTAGTGCTCCTGCTATTGGGAGTACCCTATACAGTCACTCTGACTGCTGCTCCCTGGATACAGAGATCGAGGTTCAGGCGAGTGTCCTCCCTGTACAACAGGTTCAAGCCTCTGTTTGATGCATACATGGGTCCATACAAAGACAGCCATCGCTACTGAACAGGGATGCTGCTTCTAGCGAGGGTGTTTCTGATAGTCCTGTTCTCTAGCATTGCCAACAACACCAGCTCCGCGACTGGCCCTCAACTGATCCTCTTCCTACTCATTCTCTCATCGTCTACACTGATAGCTCTTACTGCAGTACTCAAACCATACAAGACAAGGCTGCTGAACGGACTAGAGCTATTCCATCTCGCAATCCTACTCATATTTGCCTCCTCCAATCTCTATGTCTCAAGCATTGGTACTGGAAGCGAGCCACGTGCCTACATCTACATAGTCCTTGTGGTGATATGTTTCCTTGTGTTCCTGGGGATCTGTGCAGGTCACACGTGTGGTACAGAGTGAGGAAGGCTATGACTGGAAGGAGGCCAAAACCACTACGTGACAGAGAGGAAGAGGATCGGATTCCTCAGTGGCGGGTGGCCAAATTCGGAGCTGAACATGGAGATGAAAACAGAGATGTCACGCTAACGACATTTGGAGCCACCAACACCGTCTCAGATGAAGAGGAAGGATGTGAATACAGGGAGTCTTCTCTCAAACTCGCAAGCTTCAATTAATTCTATATACCAACCGATAGCTGCTGCTATTCTACTTACATAGCTACAACTGTAACAGACGATCCTATACCCCCTTTATTGTCCTTTGCAAAGGATTTAGCTTAGTGTAGTTTTTTCTGTTGTTTTTATCAAATGTATTTCATGAGTGGCCAGTAAAAAATTTAGGAAAAGGATGACCGATAATGTGCAGCTTACTATCGACAGTAACAACTATAGGTTGACCCAACAATTTTATACTGCAAGGGTTGAGTACGTTTTCCAATGAGTTTTGTAAAATATAGCACACACCCAACACTCAGATGTGGCACGCCATGTCTAACTAGAGTCATGGGCCATACATAATAATTTCATGTGTTCTCCCCACCCACTCACAACTGTATATAATGGCCTGCGAGACTATGTCTGACTAACCTGAAGGTGTGTCAGTGAGTGTCCCTCCCTCCAGTCTCCACGGACAGACCTGCTGAGGCTCAAAGTCACACGAAACACTCTCCACATGACCAACATACTCTGCATAATAACAACATTATGATAGACTAACATCAAAAATCCCATTATGCAACATTCTATTGGAAATTACCGGTTTTTTACAGGTAGTGAAAGTGCTACAATCGATATTTATAATAAAAATAGGCATATAGGGAAGGGTATAAAAAGAAAGGGAGACAAGATAGGGATGGGATACATGAAGCATGGCACATAGTTGTACCCAAAAAATACAATGTTGAGATTGTTACGCAAACCCATAGAGTCTGATCCACCACTCACCACTGAGGCTGTAGCTCTGTTCCCCGCGAGAATTCTCCAGAGAGAGGGTCACCAGGTACCTCCTCCCAGTCTCCAGTGGCCTCGTCAGCAGAGAGCCGACAGAGGAGTCCACATGGTAGACCACGCCCCCTTCCTGTCGACGGGTACGCGGAGAGTGAGGGGAGACGGTGATGGTGAACTGGGTGATGGGTGAGCCACCATCGTAAGCCACCTCCCATGTGACCAGGATGGAGTGGTTGGCCTCCTGTCTGGTGTCCACTGACAGCAGCTTGGGTGCTATAGTCAGGGAGAGAGAAAGACAGCTGTTTGAGGAAAAAATTTTTAGCAGATTTGCAATATACCTCCCCTGGCCAATGAAGACAAGTCAATCATGAAGTGGAATGCATAGGTTGTCGTGGTTAACTAGGCCTGCCTGCCACAACCAGCCATAACCACTACCAGTTTCATTCTCTACTGTGATATATATGTGGGCATTAGAACTCAGGAGTTGTGAAGCGAGAGAATGGCTATAATATTCACGTACAAACATAATATTATACAGTTGCTACTTTCATAGTGTACTTCATATTGTACAGGCAGTGGGGTTGCTTATTAGAGTACTCCAGAGTATATAAATGAGTGTGAGAAAATTAGACAGAAATACAGAATGTTGTAAATAACATTGTTGGCATAGCTATTTGCTGATCTGGAAACCAGGGACGAGTCAAAGTCACTATTGTTGCAAGGCACACCAAAAGGTTCCTAAGATCAGCACCTACGACTTGTGTGTACAAGACATGGCAAGACAACTACAGCTCTCAACCTCTCACTCTCGCAGAGCACTACAAACTGCTGCTCGAATCCAGCCATTTGTCATGTCTGGAGTGACTCAGACAGGAAGGAAGCTCGGGGAGGGATCCTACGGATGTGTGGAGGAATTGAAGGTCAATGGACTCGTTTGTGCTGGCAAGAGAATGTTCGATGTTCTAGTCAACTCTGAAAACGAAGGGGCCGACCGCATGATCGAGAAATACTACGAGGAGTGTCAACTTCTGTCGAGTCTCCGTCATCCCAACATTGTCCAGTTCCTGGGCATCTGTTTCCTGGAGACCCAGTCTGCCTCCACTGTCAACCTCCCTGTTCTGGTCATGGAGATGCTGCAGGGAAGTCTGGACCACCTCCTGGAGAGCACTCCCGACCTTCCCCTCGCCAAGAAGGTCTCCATCCTGCAGGACGTGGCCAGGGGGCTTGTCTACCTGCACAGCCGCAGTCCAGCCGTCATCCACAGAGATCTGACGGCCAGGAACGTCCTGCTCAACTCGGCAATGGTGGCCAAGATAGCCGACATGGGTAACTCACGGATGGTGGACATGCAACCAGGCCAGCTGGCAAGGACCATGACACGAGGAGTGCCTGGTACTGCAGTGTACATGCCTCCAGAGGCCTTTGAACTGCCTCCCAAGTACGGGCCACAGTTGGACATGTTCTCGTTTGGTCATCTGGCCCTCTTCACGGCAACCCAGCAGTTCCCCGGAGACCTTCTACCCTCCACCTACCAAGACCCACGTTCGCGTCGACTGGTGCCACGAAATGAGGTGGAGCGACGCAGCAGGTACATGGAGAGTGTTGGAAGGATCCTGGGCAGGTCTCACGAGCTGGTCCAGCTGATCACTCAGTGTCTGGACTTTGCTCCGATGTCAAGACCCACAGCCTCAGAGGCCATGGGCAGACTCCAACACATCAGCTCCAGTATCCACGATGTCTACCACTCCATGACACGTCTTCAACTGGAGAAGGCTCTTGCTCAGTCAGACATTAGGAAAGATGCAACAGAGGTATGAACAACTTTGTGTAGTTTGCCCATACAAATTTGTATCCCTTCTGTAGTTCGTGTTAATGCAAGGTCTGGAGACACTGGAGAGTAAACTACTGCTGGAACTGAAGACGGTGAATGGAGCCATACAGAAACAGCTACGAGGGCTTATTGGAGCACACTATGTGAATTTTAATGGATTGATGTACAATACAAAGAAGGGAGCTGTTGGGGGGAACACAATTGAGGTTCTAATCCTGGCATCAGTAGGTGACAAGTATCCGGCTGATTTGGTAGCCATTCAAAGGATCGGAGATACATCTCTGACTGAACAGGCCACAAAAAAGTTTGGTTTACTCCCAGTTGAAGTACCAGGTCTACATAAAGAAACTGCTGCAGATCTAATGGCTGCTGCTAGCACTCAAATGAACAGTCCTAACATGTCAGTGGTCCAGATACTACTAGACATTCCAATGGTGCAGAGATCAAAGCAGTTCTACCTCAAGAAGATCGAGACATTCTTTCAGAATTGCAAGGAACCTGTTGGTATGTTCATTATCACTTTAATTGCTAAATGAAGAAAACCTTTTTAATCATGCAGCTTTAGTGCACTATCTGGGCAACAGTGAGAAAACTACAGGGAACTGGTGCTTCAAAGATGGCACCATCAGCTTCCAAGAGATCTTCAACATCTACAGAAGACATCCCTCAGTCAAGTGCCTTGACATTCAAACAGACTGTAGCTACTCGGGTCAGTGGGTGAGGAAGTGTGCAAAGACACTAGACAGTCTCCACATCCCTCCATGTGGACACAGAGCCAGGGAGAATGGAGCCCTAGTCAGGGTGTTTCCATCTTGTCGGCCAGACCAAGAGGCTGCAGAGCCCGGCTACTCCGTGGAGGGAGTTAAAGTAAAGGACGATGCATCAATAACTCATAGTTTGAAGCAACTGACTCATCAAAAGCCATTAGTGCTTAACAGCACAAAGCTGGTTTGCTGCAGAGGCCCATACTCTCCATGTCCCAAGGCCACATTCCAACACCTGACATGGGAGAATGCAGTGGACAAGTCCACCAACCTACAACTGGTCCAGAGAAGAGAGGGGCAAAGGGATATGTGGTACTACCTCCTACTGCATCGAGCAGGAGACGTCTATCGTGAGGAGTTCCAGTCTCACTACAGGAGAGATCCCAGTCTACGACTCAGTGACTGGGGCTACATACTGGAGTCTGGGGAGGGATGTAATCCCCCACAAGAAGTCAAGGAGAAAGTTAAAAGATGGATACGCACTTCTAGATAGTGAATATATAGACAGCATCACTACCTTAGCATTAGCATATCTCCACAGCATTCATATCACACACATTGGTGTAAATGGTTAGCTTCTGTAAAGTATAAACACTTCCACACTCACTCACTAACGTCTTCAAAATATGGTTGATGCTACTTAGACTGAGCATAAGCTTCTGAAGATGGCAGAACTAGGATCGTCGATGTCAGCTGTTTGGAATTTAGTGTTTGGGTCTTTCTGATCCTTGAATATAATTCGAATGCCACACGTTTGTGGCGAGTGAGCACAAGCAGTTTGATATTTGTGCGTGTTTTGTGTGTATTTAGGTCGTGTCAGCACCCGACTGACTGCAAACATGAAACATTGACAACTGGGTAGGCTCACTTTGGTGGGCATGCAACACTAAAGTATAAGTGCACAGTATATACCACATATGTAACTATCCCATTCCTATAGTTACCCACAGTATAATTACATTTTTATGAGCATGGTCGATGTTTGACCAGCGTGCTAAAGCCAAAATTATTCACGATGAATAGTTCGTGTTTCAAGTAAACAAACTTTTTCACTAACTTGTTGGTGGAAGAGTGAGGGTGATATTTTGAGAGGGCGTGGCTCCAGCTCTGTTGACAGATGCCACACGGACGTAGTACGTGTTGCCTGGTAACAACTCATCCACCAGGACATTGGTTACCAAGGTAGACACGTTGGCGACGTCACGGTAACCGTTTCCAAGGTTACCGGTAAACAAAGCGACCTGGACAAGGTAGTAATCAGCGGAGATGTTGAGAAGGGGGCTGGTGGGGTAAGGGGAGGAGAGGGAGGAGGGGGAGGGAGGGAGCCAGGAGAGGTGAAGAGTGGTGGGGTAGAGGTGGGCGGAGTCTTGCTGGACTGTCTGACTGTGCAGAGATCTCACAGGGAGGGGATAGTCTGAGTGGGGAGAGCAGAGAGAGCCACACAGTCATTGTGAACATACCTGACACTTGCAGGAAAATGGTATACGCGTGTAGCATCTTTACTCAATGATGTAGACTCAACCAAAAGTACTAAGCCTAAATTGGGCCCGAATACTCCTTGATGCCGAATCGGGTGTGGAGAAAAAGTGATTCAGCCACGATGAACACAAAAGGCAGTGCTGAATCCCGTGACCACGATTCGGCTTGCTGCTAATAATATCCTCGGGATATTATACATACACTTTGAATGGCTCTAGAATCTCGAATCGTGGTCATGCCCCAATGGCTCAATTCGACAACGTAGCCAACTGTGATTCTGACTGAATTTGACTTAAAACTATTGGTTGTGTAACGCACGTGGAAATTTGTCTCGGATACTGACTCAGTCAGTGTCAGAACAAGAGATGGGATAGCATAGTCACATGCAAGGCTGGTAGCACATATGACTAAGACACAATTTTGTAGTAGGAATGCAGGAGAGTGGATTGACAACATAACACACCAGCCCTACTCCCGGTCCCTTGTGGTGTTTTTGAGCATATATTGCTCCACCCCACTTGAATGGTCTATGTGTCCGATATAGTAATGATGAGAGGGGCTCACCGATTACGAAGAGGATGTGAACGGCGGTGGCAGAGCCACACCAGTTGGTGACGTTGCAGGTGTAGAAGGCAGCGTCTCTGGCAGACACACCGCCCAGGGTCAGCTGGTGGGGGAGGAGGGAGACGTGAGAAGAGGGGGAGGGGAGGGGGTAGACGTAGGAGAAGGTGGAGGGAGGGAAGACAGGGTTGACCTCCCACTGGTAGAGAGCCACAGCTGGGTTGGCCTGGTAGGAGCAGTAGAGAGTGACGTTTGAGCCAACTTGGGTCTGGATGTGGGAGTCATCGATGCCTACACTATGGATGACTGGCTTCCCTACAGTGGAGAGATAAACACTTACACGGTATCGAAACTCTTCCTGAGAACACTATTTTCAGCCCACAGATTCAAAGACGTACCTATGTTGCACTACCAGCCTCGCGTGTGACTAGCCTTATATCTTTTCTGAGTCTCAAATCTGATCAATCTCCATGTGCATACATTCAGAGTCCAGATGCTACCCATACTAGTAAAGACACACTATGGCGGGTAAACAGTTTTGAGGGAACATCCAGTAGAAATTAAGCTCTCAAACTTAAGTATAATTTTATGCCGTTCTCTCCCTTTGAAAGGTATCTGTTATAGAGTGTGCTATAAGGACTCACCATAGGCCTGAGTCTGACAGTCGACCTCTCCCACAGCAGTAACAGTGACTGTGAGAACACCAGAGACAGATAGAGGGGGGCTCCCGTGATCAGCGGCCACAATTGTCAGGGAGTACACCTCGGGGAGTAGGGGGGAGGTGGCAACCCTCACGTCCCCCGCCTCGTCAATCAGGAAAAACTGGTTCTTGTTCCCGTGGGAGATGGAGTAAGAGATCTCGCCGGCTGGGCCGAGGTCCTGGTCTGTGGCCTTCTCTGGAGTCACCAGAGAGCCTTCTGCCACTGAGGCCTGAACCACCTCTGAGGACCTGATATAGGAGAGAGATGAGTGTAGGGTGAAAAATTGAGGGAAAGAGAGCAGATAGAGGCAGATAAATGATCTGTTAACAGTGAGAGAAACTGGTACTTTAGATTTGAGTGTACACTGATGGCTGTGTAGGCATAATTTGCTTAATGACTGATAGGTACAGCTCGCATGCATCCATGTGTGATGGATGTTGTGTGCGGGCTCACTTGAAGTTGACAAACACTGGCGTATGTTCGTTTTCCGAGGTGAGAGTAATGTGGATGGTCAGGGAGGTGGAGAGAGACGAGTTGGCAGCAGAATCGGCCACAGTCAGATTCAGAGAGTAAGAAGACTGAGTCTCAAAGTCCAGTCTAGTCTGGTCTACAAACAGTCTCCCCTCCCATCTCCACACCTCAATATACCCCACTGGGAACAGTTGAAATATCCCATCTTCCCATGTGGTGTAGGGTATTGCTACGAGGTCACCATTTGGGTCTATGAGAACAAGTGTAGATAGTTCCTTGTTGGCCATTGCCAGCGTATGGTTTTCCGCCACCATAAACGAGAGGTCAGAGTTCAAGAGGAGAGGCGGGGTGGGCGGGAAGTGGAGAGGGATGGTGAGTTCGAGATAACTTCCAAATTGATTGGCCACACCCACTGTTATGTTGGCCCCGCCTCCCCTGAGTATTTCGGGGATTGTATCTATGGTAACGACCCCGGTGACCTCTCCGAGGGTGTCAATGGTGATGCTGTGAGTTGAGTGAAGGTGGTGAGGTGTGGAGTTGATAGGTGAGGGATTGTGGGGAGGGGAGGATGTGAGCTGTGTGTATTTGGAGGGAGAACGGGACGTCGACCTCCACTGTCAGTTGAGAGGGGGTATCATGGAGTCTAATAACAGGGTCCTGCTCCAATAAGATGGAGGCTGTGGCCTTGTGAGGTGGACCATTCCGGGTGTAGTTGGAGCCCAGCACATGAACACTCACCTATATAATGCAAGTACTATACGAAAAGGATTGAGGTCTTGAGATAATACACAGGGGGTCCATAATGTACAGTAGAACCTCTGATAAAGGACACACCGAATAAAGGACACACTTTAACCTCCAACGAGAGGACAGCCTCTCTATAATGACAATGCCTGGTCCCAAAATGTCAATTATTCAGAGGTTCCACTGTATACAGACACACAGCAGAGTGGGCCTACATTGATGTGTCCCAGAGCTCCCTCTGCCAGCAGGTGAGGTCCTGTAGCATCAACCACTACTACTCCAGTCTGTGGGTCCACTGAGAATATAGCCGCCAGCGAGGGTGGCTCCACTGCAGTGCGGAGAGAGAGAAACTATTCACTGGTACATTCTGAGCCCCATAGTCAAGAAATGTGCAGGAAATGCTGTGACAAAGGATTTGTGTTTTCCTTACCAGCATCAATACTGAAGATGAGAGGGAGGGAGGGACAGAGAGGGGAGGTGGCAGAGAGGGATAAGTTAGTGATTTGGCCCAGAGATACGTTGAGTGCAGGAGGAGCAGTCAGTTGAAGGTTCCCTGGCTGAGGCAGAAGGTCAAAGTCACAGGGAAGACAGAAACCGAGAGTGATATTGTCCACCGCTGCAACCTGTAACCCTCCCTCCTCTTCCTCCGCCTCTCCTCCAACCAGAACCCCTTCAATCATTATCATTAACGGGTAGTCCATTCTGCCACCCTCGGAAATGTTATAGTCCACCCTCCAATGGTTCCACTGAGTGGTGGTGGTGGTGGTGGGCTCGGTGTAGGGTGGGAGGAAGGTTCGCTCACTGTTGAACCTCAAGAGACTCATATCCAGATTGGGAGAGGAGAAGTAGGAGAGGGAGATGTGGCAGACGTAGTGGTAGGTCGGGAATGAGAGCAGAGTCTCTGGGTTCTCTGACACTGACCCAGTGTAGTTCATGTACACATAGTGACCTACGCAACGAAGGAATAATGTTATGCAACAAACTCCCTTGCTGATCCTTAGCTACTGAATGCATGTTCACTAGAACAGTGTTGCTTGACCATTACCTCTGTGCATGATGTTTTTACTAGTTCAGTCGGTGTGAAAATCACAGTCATTCAGTGTAGACTAATGTGTACCCCATGCAGAGAAGCAGAGACCATTACAGACGGGTGGGTATTCGTGTTTTGCAAGAGAAATTTGTGACTTGTTGTGACTGATTGATGACGGCAGAACCACTGAACCATTAACCACAAACACCCATATGAATTTCGTGCGAGGCATTCTCCCTCGACCACGCCGCTGCATCTCAACTATTACCCTGTGCGGTGCCTGGCACAGCATCTGCATGGGGGCCTGGCGCCAAGTCAGCCAGAGTCCTGGCGATAGTGTAACTGCCTTCCTCGGGCTCCCCCAGTCTCCAACCACACAGTCCTGTCTCCATATCGCACGTAGACGCCCGCTCTGCTGAAATAAAGGAGGTGGGGCTCGACGCACGGCTTTATGCGCAATGTGGCGCTCACCTGCGGTACTTGCGGCTTGGGCATTGAAGATCACATAAAACGCAACGACGCACAGTTTTAGCGCCGCTGTTTGTCTTCTCCCCATAATTTGGTACGGTGTACCTGGACGCCAGTCAGGTCCGGTCTCTACTAGAGCTTTGATCTGCGCTGCGCGTGTGTGGCGTGTCGTGATTCTACGCATGCGCAGAGTAAGTGCGAGCGCGGGATTCGGCCCACTTACTGTCCACTGGTGTAGTCACATGCCGCAAAAAACGTTGACTTGGAAAACTATAGCATGGCAGTCTGGTGAATAATGTTGACATGTATATACCTGCTGGACTTTACTATGACACGGATCATAAAGCCAAAAAATAACAAGCCGTGAAGAAAGGGTAAAATTAAAACACTCCCTATCTCAAACCTGTATTCCAAACTCTCTATTTGCAAATGCAGTAAATTATGCCATGTTATTGGCTACTGCCGTTTTTGTTTTTGAAATAAAAATGTTCCAAACACTGAAAGTGAGGTGTGCTGAAACAACATGAAACAACATGAAACAACATGAATCATCTAAATAAACTGAAATTGTACTGTGCAAGATGTCCATACAAACTAACAACCCAAATTCACTAGCGGTGTAATGTATAAGAGGCAATTTTCCTAGATTTATACACCTGAAACTGCATAAGCCACATTAGACTCAGTGTGAATCGAACGAGTGGTATTCCTCTGAAATGATATGGTAGCATATGCATCGTTGGGTTTAGTGGGAACAGAAGAAGAGGAGGTGGGCGGTGGTGGACTGACATAATCGTACACAGCATTAGCTGCAGCTGGGAGAATACAGCAGATCAAATGCATAAGAGTGTGTGTGTGGTTATCTTACCTGCGGTTTTATTTGCTCGACTTATCTTTAAATGGCAAAGCTTCGCTGCCACAGCGATTAAAACAGCAGATAAGATACCAAAAGCACTGGCCCCTGTTATAGTGTATGATAATGCACTTACATGATAAATGTTCTTACCAACAGATGCTATCACGATTTGTGTTTTCAAAGAACTTCTGCTTCCCTCATTTGTTTCAATCGCTTTGTTTATATAAACATTAATGGAATTAATGTCTACTCGGAAATGTTTGTTTCACTGTACCTCTAAACTTTACACAGAGTGCTGGCTCTTCCTCAAATTTAACTTCACCATTTCTTCCAAACAGAGCAAATGTGTAATTGGCTGGATTGTGAACAGTAATAGTAACTGGTAAAAGGTTGTTAAATTCCACGGCTTTCAAAACCAGGCTGCCATGCTCCCTGTACACCAGGACACATGAAGCATCCGGATAACTGTCTGCAAATTTGCAATCAATTGTAATCTCTGATCCACTTTGTGATATAGTTGCATTTGTTATGAACACTGATGGGGTTTTGGATGGTTCAACTGTGTGTCAAAAATAACGTAAACGCTCTAATCTGTAGTATTGTCTCTTACTTACATGTGCCGTTGAAGACTTCTATATTCTCTAATGTTCTGGCTGGCATTAGGGCAGGGAATGCAGCTTCCTCAAGGTCATAAGCACAAAGTGTGTAAACAGAAGAAGGAACCGAGATATGCACTGATATATTTTGATCTAGTTTCTTCCGTTGAAGTGCTCTGTAAAAGTCTGGCGTAGTTGTGTTTCCTTGGAGAACTACGAAACAGCCTTTAGCCTGAGAGTCAGTGGCAAATTCCCCTTTTACCGTAATCCCACCATCTTCCACTACAGCCAATATACTCTGGATATCGTACGTGGCTGTGTGTGTTTTGTGTTATCATTAGAGAGTTGTAGTAACTTCGTATTCATGACTTACTGAAACTGTCATTTGGTAGGATTGTAGTGCCATACTTGAAGTTGACTTTGAAAAAAATACTGTAGTTCTTGTTATCGGGGAGCAAGTAGGATATGTCGTCTTCACCCTCTAAGGGGCCATACTGAATAAGTTGATCTGCACCAGCAACACCCTGGAGAGTGTAATTACACACTCTCTCTCCTTCTCCCTGTAATTAGCAACTAAACAAATTGACACACTGCATAATATCATCATAACTTACAGAAAAATGGAACCTGATAATAGAGTTCCTTTCGTCTGCTCTAATAATATCAGTTCTTGTAATATTGATAGATATTTTAGCACAGCTATCTATAAATAATGACATCGCTGGGAAATCTGCATAAAGTTTCCTAAATGGTACTTACCCAGTATTGTAAAAGAAACATTGTGACTGATCTCCCCTGGCCAGCTCCATTGAAAGGAATGACAGTGAAATTGTATGTGTGACAAGGACCAACGCCATCAGGAGTGAAGGTGTAGTGTGTCTCAGTAATATTGATACAGTCAGTACAGAGGATGGCTGTTGGGTTGTTCTCATCTGTCACATTGTAGATGAGGACCGAGTACCAGATATCAGGATCAACACCAGTCACATCCAGAGAGAATGGAGGACTCCATGAGACTTTAACAGACGAGGCATTTTTCAAAGCATTTAAATCAGCAACATCTGAGAGCAAGCCTGAAAAACATGGAGACTTTATCCTCTGTGGACTAAATGCTAGCTTGCATGCACATTCATTACCTTGAACAGTCAATGTCACACTCTCACTGTAATTTGAGAAATCGCCAAATGTCACACACTGAATTTCGGTTCCATTGTATTCAGTTCTGGCTTTGATGGTCAAGATATCTAAAGCATTTCCTTCTTCAGTGTTGGCTAATGAAGTGTCCAGATCATTAAGAACCTCGGACGTTAGACCATTAATCAGTGATCCGTTCACTCTCCAACTAGTATAGCCCCCAAATACCTCACACATAAAACTTGCTGACTGGTTTGGGAAGACAGCTTTACTTTCGGGAGATTTTAATATCACTGAAAAAGACACGCATGATCACAACTTGTACACAGAAATGCTATTTCCTATCCAAAACCTTTGATAAAGCAACATGTCAGCAGCTATTCCCCTAACGTATACAGGTTTTATGCCACACATCATTTAGCTATATCCTCACATTGAGAGGTAGAGAATCGGAGCAAAATGTGTAAGATGACAGATAATACTAGTACATCTGCACAGACAATTGATGTACAGCTACTTCTCAGCCTCATTGCTCCGTAAACCTAGAAAGCAAAAGGCATTGATAATATGTCTGGGTCTAAGGATTGCATGCTTCTTGATGAAAGGGTGTCCTTATTAGAGAGGTGTCATGTATACGTTAGCTATATAACACTAAAACATAGGCCACCTTATACACTTACCTCGACTGGAGTTCTACCCAAAGAAGCGTGTCCCGTCGATCGCCGATTCCAGCCTGCGCTCGCATGTATATTAACACGCATGCGCGAGCACGCACGTGATGCGCGCTAACGCAACCCGCGCGCACGAAACCTCTCGATTATTAGCTCCTAAAAGAGAATGTAGGGGGTTAGCGTTGGTATATACATCCTTCTTGTGAAAAGTACATCCAGTAGAAGCTGTAAGTTGTATACAGTGGGAGGGAGAAGCATGTATATATGCAGGTCCATGCAGGTGTGACGCAATAAAGATCCTCATTATTGTTCTCATCAATAAACATTCTCGACTGAAACAATACATCATTACTGATTGGTCTTTCCTTCTTTCCCTCTTTTCTGTTGTGTACCATGTGTCCAAAATAATGAAGAGGTAAGAGAATTATTCACTGCCACATTCAGAATAGTGTCGTGAATGTGGCAGTGAATCCACTCCTAAAATGCTAACTGCTGAAAGAGCAAGTTGAAGCAAGCTATGTTTATTAATGAAGTTAATGTGGGAGTTGTCACATTTCAACGTTAATGCTCGGCGCATGCGCATGTGATGTTTTTCATGAATAAAATTGTAATTTACCATATTTGGGACTTTGGAATGTGTTGATGAGTGCTAGCTGTTCTCAGCTTGGTCTTTCCCATTGTTTTGTCGGGCTACTAAACCGCACAGATCGTTTTTGGTAGTGCTTTTGTAGCCGCATCAAACATGCTGTTTCAGCAATCTGCCCGGAGTAAGTTGACAATCATTTATCAAGCCGGCTATTAGAGTTTACTATTGTATAGGTTTTCTACTTCCTGTTGTGGTGATGTTGATGATCAGCATTACCTCTGCTCAAGGTGAGAGTGTGCTTGCTGGGGGAGGGGGGGTGGGGGGGGCACTGTGGCACACAGCAGGGGGGCCTGTATATAGGACAAATGTCAGATGGCATGTATAGAAAGAATACCTAGTCACGTATACAGTAGCTAAGCCAACTCTTAGCCCGTCTCTATACAATGCTCAAATGGGTCATAAGTCACATCAGGAGTTTCATTGCGAAATCACTCTTAGCCAGCTCTTAGCTACAGACATTTTCGTGTACAAATTTAGCTAGCTAATTTGAAATAAGACGTTCCCACGGCATTGGTCACGGTCATGACGTTGTTGATTCTTTGTTGCTGCATGCCACCACATATATAGAGTGGGATGGTTCCCTTCAGTAAAGACACCTTAGCATGCATTGTCTTGACTCCTCTCACCATTATATCACACAATTATCTAGCTTTTTTCCTACGTCAACAGAGATAAACCATGGTCCCGAGAACATTACTGTTTTCCTGAATCAACCAGCAAACTTTACATGTGAAGTTACTAGCGGTGTCAACAGCATGGAAAGTGAATACGACTTCGGAGAATGACCTCCCACCTAAGATACGTGCCAATATCAAGAAGACACTACCAGTGGCTACTGACAGGGGAAGTGTGGTAACCTTAACCATCAATGCCTTAGCTGATTACAATGGGACTACATTTCAATGCGTGACATTTGGTGACTTTGAAGACGAGAGTGAAATTGCCACAATAACTATTCAAGGTAATAGGTAATAACAGCAAAAAGGAATTTGGTGGCTAAAAAGGGCATATAGAGTAGATACACGTCAGAGATGAAAAGCAATTATACATCGCTGTGTTGCTTTCAGTTGACATCTGTTCACCATCTCAAATTTACAGGTCCAGTATCAGCAGTTGGCGATTTGAAAGTGACAGAAAGCTCCACATCTATTATAATCTCGTGGGGTGCTCCATTTTCTCTGGATGTGACTGATGTTGATCCTGATATCTGGTACTCTGTCCTCATCTACAATGTGACAGATGAGAACAGCCCAACAGCCATCCTCTGTACTGACTGTATCAATATCACTGAGACACACTACACCTTCACTCCTGACCACCCCAGCCCGTGTCATGCATATCATTTCACAGTCATTCCATTCAATGGAGCAGGCATGGGAGAAAGCAGTCACAGAATCAGTGGATACACACTAGAAAGTAAACTCTCCCATTCAATAATCCTCTCACCCATTTATACCTACCTCTTTTTTATGATTGCAGATCACAACCCATCTGTAAACTTCATTGGACCATATATTGAACTATTTTCATATGATCAATATTTGATCTCTTTTAAGATCCAGGTTAGTAAAAATTGAATCATTGGATTTCGACTAAAGAGCCAATTTTATAGGGTGACGCTGATAGTGTGTGCAGGTATCAGTTTCAGAGTATCACTGGGCAAAACATCGAACCATACTCGGAAAATGACACAACCATCACTTTCAACTTGGGAGCTAATGAGAAATATTCCATTAGTGTTAAAATTCAAAATGCAGCTAAAGACACAGAAATAAAACTAAATTTTAGTAAGTTATGATACCATAATCCTTGTGCCTTGTGCTTGTCAGCACACTATGCATACTTGTTAATGCATATAGGCCCTAGTGTTATGACTTTAAGTGGCTCCTAATAATTATTCTGATGCTTCAGAATTTGGCTTTGGTGTCCACTTTTGCAGGTACATTTGACATTCAAAATGCTTCTGCTGTGATTTCCACTGATAGAAAGATTGAAATCTCAGCACAGTTCATCAGTGGTACAAGAGCCAGAGGAACTTTTATCGTATTTCGCTGCATAAATAAAACCTGTCGGGAGTTTAGAGCAGTGCAGCGACCTGGACCTAGCACAACAGTTACAGACTCTATCAGTAATCCACCACCTGCAGCGTACAACGTGTCTTTCCATGACTTAGAGGAAAGTGGACTCCCTAATATCAGCCCAGCATATGAACAGAGTGAGAGTGTCATTGTTGCTGCAAAGGGAGAGGAAGGTAAATCAAGAACTGAGTTATTCTCTGGCTACCATATTATTCTCCCTTCTTGTCCAACCATACTGGTATAAGTCCGCAAATATTTCCCAAGATCCCATAATCTTTTACCAGATCCAGCACATAGCACTGAATCTTGGAAAATCAGCCAAGCATGAATAGCTTTATATTTTAATCCGAAGTTGCTGATTCTATCATAGGTGAAAGATCCTCCATCCTTGAGGATGCCAGTGCAACTTACTTTAATGAGTCAGCTGAGAACATTTATTGCAAGTTCAAACAGGGAGTTGGAAACGCTTCATGTGTTATTGTCTATCAACAAATGTTGGTGAAGACATGCTAATAGTATTGGAGTACAGCCCCAGAGCACTGAGTTCCCAGTGGTTATCGACACTGTTGATGACCCAATACGCTATACCTTTGCCATTTTTGGAAAGAACAGTACTCACTTTGATGAAAGACCATTTATGAAAGAAACAATTACCTCAGGTGAGAAGCTATCTCAAATGTATTGGCAGGTAGGAAGTATAAAACCCTAGTGTGCATTACATATGTAGAGGACAAGTTGGTTTGAAAGATGCGTGAACAGTTAGCCTTGCATTGTACAATAATAATCTTTACCACACTGTATTCGGGACCAGGAAACACATCACTCGAAGTGGCTCTTGGTGTAACTGCTATAATTGTTGTGATCACAATTATTGCTCTGCTGGTCTACTGTTATTACAAAAGAAGAAGAACTGGTTTGTTGCACCTTGCTATAATTATAGATGATGAGCAATAATGATGTAATTCTGTTGTACTTGCCAGCAAAATTTTAATGGTGAAGAACGCCCTCCATGCCCTCCCGGGTCTGAATCTTGTGATGGTGTTGAGAAGGATGGCCCAATAAAAAAGAGCAATGGAATGGAACTGGTGGCTCCTCCTGGACAAAGAATGCAACCAAGACAACATTCCACAGCAGCTGTGAGAATATTAGCAACTGACGAGAAGAGCAGAGGAGCAAGGGTGAGTAATATGCACACTTATTAGTTGATACTATACCTACTACTGTCCCATAGTAGTAAGCTGTATCAGAGCTAGTTTCTGCCAGTGTTATTCGGTTGTTCTTCATCTATTGGTAGCTCATTGAGCCAGAGATCAAATCATTTTTGGCTGAGTCAGGGTCTCAAACTCAGCCAGAAGATTTTGGTGTGAGCGGTGACAGTGTGGCCGGACAGGAGGATTTCTACATGAAGGGCACTGAAGCTGGTATGAACTTTAATTGTTGATCTTTTAATCAATCTAATACACTGGATCTGTACAGAACGTCTTCAGCCACGAGAGCTTCGCAGACGTCCACTGCACTAGCTCGTGAGCAAGGTTTGTCTCAATAGCTAAATCTGATACCTTGCATTGAACTTGTGTCAATGTAGGTAGCAAAGGCAGAATAGATGTGGACAGCTCTGGGTGAAAAATCTCACGACAGTTCACAAAACTCTTAACCTGTATCATAGTTTGTATCATAGCCTTTCTGCACAGTTTGTATCATAAAAACTACATTGCGGACCAAAACATCCCGCAGTTGTGTTTCGTGCGTCTGCGCGTGCGCACAAATTTCCCTGCGCATGTGCATTGTGCATGGTATATAAGAACCACACCCATCGATTGAGAACACGCAGATATACTTTTTGCTCTCTACCTCTGTGAGTGGTAAGTGGGGATGTCGTGTGTGGAGGAAGAAGATAGCTCTATGGACGAGGACGAGGACATGCCGGGGCTCGAGAGTGTCTCCAGCTCTGAGGTAACTGGCCCCGAGAGAGCTACAGTGGGAGGGCGCCCCTGTGTAGCCGGGTTCCATTCGTGCAACTTGTGCTTGCGGACCAGTAACGTAGCCATGCGCATTCAAAGTTAGCAGTGGGTCGGGTCCCCACACTGTACATGGCTACACAGTTGCAGCAACTGGATAGTGTTGGATATCCAAGCAGTCGTACTGTGTATCAGTGGCGAGTTTGTGTCCAAAATCATCAGCCATTGAAAGAGCGTCCCCTCCTACCAACTCGTGTACAGTTGAAACACACACGGGGCATGGTAGTAGTACTGCAGGATATTCAGTTTGACTAAGAAAAAGTAGTGTTTACCACCGTGTCCTACTAGATACCCAATGAATAACTCAGTTATCTGGTGACAGGCAGTGTGATGAGGTGTGTCCGGTACGCCCAGTACGTTGGTTGGCACTGGTTCAACTACTCCTTTTATTCCCACTGAGAGGGAGAGTATCTGCCTCATTGTGTGGACTTTCACCCAATTACCATTTCCAGCCTTTAGTAGGTTGCCTTCCTGGGTATTTAGGTATTAACAACAACCTGGTGTGAATGGGATGCACATTTGGGGAGGAATTAACACAGCAAGTGTATAGAGCAGGTTCTTGTGTGTCGTGTGGCCGAAACAAATCAACTAGGCATGCAATCCAGAAGCAGTACTGTGGTTTTAGTGACCTTTTCTGGGATTGAATAAATACCATAGAGCCCTCGTTAATTTATTTCGGTGGGGTGGGGAGGTAGAGGGAGGAAGGAATGCACACAACCCTAATTCTTGACCTCGTAGGATGTCATTGTTGAATAGGACGATGTCATTGTTGAATCATCCTATTCGACGAGGTAAATGCCCTGCATGCTATTCAGTATATATACTAGAATGTTTAATAATGTATACATGGAAGTCATAGTCCTGCCCATAGCATCCCTGCATGGAGCGGCTTTTGAGGCGGCACTGAGGCGGCACTGAGGCGACTGGCATGTTAGGAGGGGGAAATTTTCCAACTGGTCCCACTGTCGTTATTCAGAGTTGTGGCCTATTTTATGATTATGTGAGTAAATTAAAGTCCCGTATTATCGCCCCCATAGAGAGCAGGTACTTCACCTCTATCTCGTACGATTTTACCGTCATTCACCTTTTGTAATCCCAGCAGCTATGCGGTGAATGCCCTGCGCTACGCTACACGCACCATCTAGATTAGCAGGGTAGGTACCCTATCGCCTACTACTGCCATACTATGCCTGTGTGAGGTGCAGTTATGAGGCGGATGTAGTTTTTAGAGGTGGGGGAATTTTCCAGCGGCCCAGTTGAGATTATTCAGAGACTGTGAATAAAAGCTGGCTTCTAGAACATTCCATTCACCACATGTTCCCTATAGGACAGACCCCTGAGAGAGAGAGAGAAGAGAGAGGGGGAGAGAGGGAGGATAGAGTTACAAGGGACTCATGTTCTCTTTGTCTGTACTGCTACAATGTTAATTCACTGGCCAAGCAGGGAGAATCCCCCATAATGGCCACTCAACTTGGTGGTTACCCTGAGATCTTTAGTAATTCTGTTGGTCCAGAATATCACCAGCTGTATAACCCTTGCAAGTAGGGTAACGGGCACATTTCTCTGCTGTTAGGTTCCCCTGAGTGTTATCATGCTGGATTTCCTGTGTGGGTAGTGTGAGTGTGTAAGTCTGCTCTGTTAATTGGGAATCTTGGGTTGGAAGGTCATGGAGTATTTATCCGTTTATTGTAGACACGCTGCCTCTGTCATTCTGTAGTCCTCTCTTCCTTCCTCCCTCTTCCCCTCTCTAAGACAAACTGTCACAATCAATCATCTCCCCGCTCTCCTGTCTCACAGTATGTCAGTTACTACCGGCACTGTGGGGTAGTCTGTCCCTCTCCCTCTCTCCTCTCTCCTCTCTCTCTTTCCCCTCTCTAGCACAAAGCTCATAGACAGCCCTCTCTCTCTTCTCTCTCTCACACAGTATGTCAGTGATGAGGACAGTGTGGGGTTCTCATCAGATGGAGAGGAATACTCATCTCCTGCTAGACCTGTCAGTCCCAGCTCTCTGTACTGTAAGTCCCCACACCACCTTCTATAGTACATCCTCTCTACTGTACCACCTTCTATAGTACATCCTCTCTACTGTACCACCTTCTATAGTACATTCTCTCTACTGTACCACCTTCTATAGTACATTCTCTCTACTGTACCACCTTCTATAGTACATTCTCTCTACTGTACCACCTTCTTATAACATTCTCTCTAGTACACCTTCTATAGTCATTCTCTCTACTGTACCACACCTTCTATGTCATTCATCTCTACTGTACCACCTTCTTAGTACATTATCCTCTACTGTACCACCTCATAGTACATTCTCTCTACTGTACCACTTCTATAGTACATACCTCTCTACTGTACCACCTTCTATATCTCCTTACTGTAACCAACCACTTCTATAGTACATTCTCTCTACTGTACCACCTTCTATAGTACATTCTCTCTACTGTACCACCTTCTATAGTACATCCTCTCTACTGTACCACCTTCTATAGTACATCCTCTCTACTGTACCACCTTCTATAGTACATTTCTCAATCTCTACTGCTGTGAAGTGTATACATCCAGATTGAAAATGATATCTGCAAATGTGTGTTTTTCTATCGTCCTTCAAAACCCCCCATACAGTACATCGTAAACTAAAATGAAGCCCAGCACTATACCATAGACTCAACAGTAATGAAAAAAGGTGCACTCTTTAAGGCATACTTGGGTTCGATGAAAGGTCAGTTTTTGAGCAGTTCTTTTTGCATTACCGACACTCACAGCACCGAGGCAGCCATTTTGTCAGGAAATGGGGTGTTATACTTTTGGTAGAGAGAGAGAGAGGAGTCCTAGACCTACTGAGTACACACTACATTAGCTATAGATAGTAGTGTCTGCAGACCTAAAGTACACATTACATCATTATGAGGGTCTGCTCCCTACATTATAGTGGTTGGTGTAGGGGGTTATTCCCTCTCATTAGCCTCTCTCTACTGTGGTTCCTGCAATTTCTCATACTACGTTGTCACTACTATATATAGTAACTATATAGTATATGATTTCTCATTGGCTCCCTCCCTCACCCTCCCACCTAGATGCCACGGCCAGAAAGTGGCTCGGTCAGACGAAGGCGGAGGTCATGCACCAACTGCAGGTCACCACCATTCATCTCCTGAGTCCTTTCCTCTATGGCTGTTCTCACCAGACTGACAAGGTCTCTACATATACATATACTGCCACCACTACTAACTACCATTGCTCACTACACATAGCCACATGTGTACCGTGGAAGCTCTCTATTCCAGCACCAATGGGGCAGAATATAGCGTCCATATTAGATATAGGTGTCCTCAGTGGTCCATGAACTGTCCTTGGGGAAAGAAAAGGTGTCCTTATTGGAGAGTTGTCCTCATTTCAGGACCTTTCATCGAACCCAAGTATGCCTAGGGGTGACTTTAGAGAGGGTTTCCACGGTATTTCGTGGTCACATTAAGACCTACAGAGCCACATGCGTGCAATAGACGCCAACAAAATTGGTAGCCTACTGGAGATGTACAGCAAGATAGTGGAATACAGATGTGCTGGCTTTCTGTGCCTGCCCTGCATTAGAGTACTAATGTTCTGAGCCACTTTCTACGTGTGTCCTACATGGAGAGTTCTGTATGCCAACAAGCAAACAGTACTCAGTTACTATCTACTCATCATCTCTCCCTTCTCTCTCCCCCCCCTCCCCCTCCCTCTCCTTTCCCCAGTGGCTGGGCTGGTGTTCCAAAGTCGGTCTCCTGCAGAGCGATGTGTAAGGGGCACATGTTTTCACCATATTCGGCTATCACACTAGATGCCCAATCACAGCTATGTGTAATTGGATCCAAGTCACCTCATGATTCTGTGCGGCCACTCCACGGCAGCTCATTTGTACTTCATGATTCTTAGTTCGTCACAATGCAGCGTGTCCCCCACTGGGGTTTGCATTGCCTCCTACCTTTGAACTATTACCCATTCACTAGCAGTATATGGTGGCACAGTTAGTGTAGACAACTGGGTGAGTAATGATATGGGAAGGTTTTGTGGACGGGACATGTTCTAGGACATAAACCTATTCAAGGCATTTGCTTTTTCTGGGCATTGAATAAATACCCTGACTCTTCCTTACCCCTCCCTCCCTCCCTCCCTCTTCCCTCTTCCCCTTATTTGTTCCACCCATCTCTCTCTCTCTCTGCCCCTGTCTGTTGTATGGTTGTGGTGCCACAGCTACTATCACACTGGGTCACTGAAGGACGTGGAGCTATGTGCTGTGTATGTATTGGAGAGGGCAATGGAATGGTGCAAGGAATCAGCTGTGAGTTGTGCCTGCCTACTCCTTCAGCTTACTTTCAATATCGTATGAGTATAGACTGGTCTTGGTATACACTCTACATATATAGCTGCACTGTAACTCCCATCTGCTGTAGCAGTACATACTTAGGGATTGGCATGGACCTATAGCACACTTACATATGTTGTACTATGCAACAGCTGTAATTTCAGGCCAAGGGAAGGGTTTAGCTTACTGGAAAGTGGGCCAATAATGAGAGGGGATTAACGGCTAATAAAATACCTACATTCACCCATGTAACTCATGCACCCCCGAATAAGGAAAAGGTTGAAAAGCTATAACTCTGTTTTCCTGTGTAACGGTTCTCGTACGGTATTACAAGTGTGTCTCTGTGATGTGGCTGTATTTCAATATCCACTAACAGACTAAAGAAGGTCAGCCTCCTGGGAACCTGGCAGAGCTCCTGCGACTGGCAGAGGAGATCAAAGACGTCAACCGACTGGCCCGGGCTCTCATCCTCGCTCGAAAGAGGAAGATATTTCTTACCATGTGAGAAATCCTCTCTCTCTCTCTCTCTCTCTCTCTCCCTCCCTGCTCTTTCCATGTGTCAGCAATTCCCCCGGGGATAATGCTATTGTGTTTGGCATGAATGGTCTTCATTGGCCTCTTCATTCAGGCTTAATCACCCACATACCCAACACAAATTCAGGTGTCAAGGTTGTGTAATGTATTCATTGGTGGTGTGTGTGCATGTGTGTGTGTTGCAGGCTGGAGCGAGTGAAGGAGTCAGATCCAAGGACTAGCTGTGAGATGGAGGAGAACCAGGAGTTTCTGGAGACTGCTTGTCTTTACGTTGTAGCACAGAGTGAGACATTCCCCTCCTCCCTCTCCTGTATATCCTTCCTCTCTCACCCTCCCCATCCACTGCTTATGTAGTCTACTACTTATGTAGTCTTAGTAGTTATGTAGTCCACTACTTACAGTAGTCTGCAATCTCCCCTACCCTCTAGTGGCCCTCAAGTCTACCATGTATAAACCACTGTGTCACCGTAGCCCATGGTCTAGTCATGCATAAAAATGCACAATTTCATACGTTAAACATTGGCAGTAGTTCAGTACGTATGGGTATATATACAAACGTTATGAAACGTGTATAGCGTGGGTCATGGATAGGGCAAAAGGAGGTTATGGAGGAGCTTTTGTGGAATTGGAAAATACTAATAAAATGTTTTCTAACAGCTGTTCTTTTGTCAGTACATGCAGTTTCATTAACTTTTCTGTTGTTGTTGTTGTTGTGTTGTACCCTTGGCACAGTCGCGGAACATGTAGACAACGTTATTAATGAAAGCATAAACATCGTTAAAGAGCACGACGAATACTGCCATACCGAGGAAATGGTGAGTCAGGATACTCTCAGTAATCTCTTGCACACCTCAGTAATCTACGCACCTCGTGTATACGCAGAAATTTGACAATATGATAATAAAGGGAGACGAACTGAGAGAGCAAGGTCGCCACAAGGACTGCATCGTACAATATACTACTATCATAAACCTATGGTGAGTTTTCCCTTGGGTCTTGGATAACTCCAGTTTTTGAGAAATGACACTTTTTTCTCTTTCTACATTCCCTTTCTCTTCTTCCGCTCCTTTGTCTACTATCTCTCTCCCCTCCCCTCCCTCCCCCCTCTCTCTCCATGTCTCTCAGTCCATATAATTTCAAGGTGTACATGAACAGAGCCCACTGCTATATCAGTACTAAAGAACACAGGTATGTACATACAATAAAACCCTATACTAAATATTTTTGGTAAAAGCGAGCTCGAAAGAACTACTTGACATAATTTTCCATGCCTGTATACTATCTATCCCCTGTGACAATTGTTACTGTACGACTAGGTTACTTGTTCCCTATGAGTTACGCAACCGATATTCTACAAGTTGTTGAAACCCCATCACCTTCCTCCTCCTCCTCCTCCTCCTCCTCCTCCTCCTCCCTCCTCCTCCTCCTCCTCCTCCTCCTCCTCTCTCCTCCTCCTCCTCCTCCTCCTCCTCCCCCCTCTCTCCTCACAGAGCAGCCATGTCGGACGGACTCCGTTCGGTGTACCTGAAGCCAACGTGGTCCAGAGGTCACCTGAAGTACATCCAGGGACTCGATGGCTGCGGAATGGCAGTGCAGGCCACTCAGGCACGGAAGAAATATGCTCAGCTCTTTCCTGGCCATGACGATGACGTTTGTGAGTACTGCACTAACAACTACTGCCCATACTTACTGGTCTAGAGTTTCAGTTTTTGTGTGTATACAATGATGATAAGTGTGTTTTCGTGGCACTAATGATGGAAGTGTTATGTATGAATGTGAGATGTATCTTTTTGTCTTTTCGTGCAGTGGATAAAACAGAGAGAAAAAGAGGTAAGTTATGCACACATGCTCCGTCACTACATTTGTACAAGTCGTGCCATTTCCCCCTCCCCCCAGCCGACTGATGAAGACCGCTACATGTACTCTGAGATGATGAAGAAGTGTCAACAAGTGAGTTTTGACTACACATCAGATGATCTTGCTCAGTGATGTAATGATGACATCATTGTCCAGGCATCAGAGGCATTTATAGGGGGGAATCTGACGGGGACCACCTTCTGGTACGAGGAGGTGTGGGCTAAGATCAAGAAGAAGCACGGAGTGAGTGGACATATGTATATATACAGGCAATAGATGTTATACATGACCAGCATGCAAACAGGCTAATGTTGTGGTGTTGCCATTTCTAAGAAGATTACTACATTCCGTTCATGGAGCGTAGCGTTAGCGTTCTTTTCACTGCTGAGTTCTTTGTTCTGGTGTATGGCTAATGTCCCCTCCTCTTTTAGACTAGAAATGCACAATACATACAGCAAACAGGCAAGTTTTTGTGGTCTTGCCATTTCTGAGAAATCTACTACAATATATTGAGCTCCCACCACAAGTAGTTTAAGATCGTGTGTAGCCAGCTGTTGTCCCCCCTCAGCCAGTAACCTATTATAGTGTATTAACAACGCTAAGGCAAAACAACTACACCCTGGACAACTTTGTATTATACTTGTGTCCTTGTGTTTTTTCTCTCTTATAACTCTCCCTCCCTCCCTCTCTCCCTCTCTCCCTCCCTCCCTCTCTTCCTCCCTCCCTCCCTCTCTCTCTCTCTTCCTCCCTCCCTCCCTCCCTCCCTCTCTGTGTCTCCACTAGTGGAGGAGATGTATGGAGCCGGTGGAGTGTGACAGGTTCGTTGTTGCCCTCCATTATGTCTACGGTTCAGCTCTCATGGGAAGACAGGAGGCTGTGGTAAGTCATCACCGTCACGGTATTCAACACATGAAAACATGTTTACTCGTTTACTCGTAGTACTCATTACACGAGTTTGCTAAGTGCCCTTTTTTCTTTTGTCTGGATGTAATTGTGTTTTGCCTTTGTTTTGCCTTGATACCTCGTTGATGACATATGTCTGTGTGTGTGTGACTCATCCAGAGCATGGAGACGTCAATACCCCATTTTGAGACCATAATGACGGAGTTCACTGCCGTCAGGTTCCCGGGGGCCTACTACGCTGCTGGGAAAGCCTACGCCTTCCTGAGACAGCACTCTGACGCGGTGGCCATGGCCAAGCTGGGGCTGGAGATGGTGGCGGTGTCTTCTTCGTGCCCCCCGCTCCACTACCCTGGGACTGAGACTCTCATAGAAGACAGCAAGAGAGATGTCATCGAGGTGGTGATCCACACACACACACACACACACACATACGAACTTACATCTCGCATAATGGCATGCCAAATCTGTATGCCTTGCATACTAATCAGCTCACACTTTCACAATGAAAGAAAGAGAATTAGCAAGAGAGGGAGAGGGGTTCGTGACAGAACACTCTCACCTTGGTAATACGAAGTGTCTATCATTTTCCCTCCACTGTACATGTCTGTGTCTCTTCACTGACGTCTCTGGCCTTGCCTTACACTAGCTCTCCCCCACGCCACGCTGCGTGTCAAATGTGACTCAAACCATCTCAGAAACAAGGAGGAAGCACAGTACTATACATCTCTTGTCTATGTCGTGATGGCTGTATACTGTATATACAGGCGAAGCTGAAGAGTCTGCTGCAACAGTGCAAGCTATCCACCATACCAGATGCCGTCTGTCGCTATGCCAACTGTCTCTCCCACAACTCGTCCAGCCGCATCTGGTCACATCATGACGGTCTGTACATATATACTGTACTGTTACGTTCTTCTCTGTTGATTATGATTGAATGTCTACTATATTATGCCTAGTATTGTATGTACACTTCTAATGTGGAGCCTACATTCATACTATTACACTGGGATATATGCAGTGGGTGACCCCTGAAGTTACTCTGGTTGCCAATCAAACACAGACTGCCTGTGTGGCTTTCTTCGTTGCACTGTAAAAGGCATACAATTGTGAAAGGCATACAATTGTGCAGACTTGGTAGACCCATTACACCCATTCATTTGAGGTTGCATGAGACTCGTTGCGCAGTTTACTACATTTGCCGTAACTCAATCTCTATTTCCCCCCCACCCACCCCAGACTATCGCGGTCACGTGAGTCTGGAGTGCCACGAGGACTGCTCCATTGCCTACCATCTGACGTGCTGGAGGAAGTACAAGACAGAGTGTGAGCAGAAGACGGACAAGGAGTTTCTGTTGACTCCCTGCGCGACCCCCGACTGCTGTGGCTACGTCAGCATGGTCGTCATCTATGATACCAAGGGAGCCGTCAAGGCTAAGGTAAGAAGAGGGGGAGGGAGGGGAGTTGACCTGCCGGGGTATTAATGAGGCGAGCGAATCAGCAAATTGTCTCAATAGCTCTATTATTTAACTCTCTGTCCAAACGACCGAATTTGTTCATGCGCCAAAATCGCGTACAGTAGGTAGTGTAAATGTCGCTTTGCTTTCCATTGCCAAAGTATTCTGTGTAGTTTCTCAATTTACTTGATTGTGGCCCTAGAGTAGACTACTGCTGTATACACCTGTGTGCATGTCCAACTGATACGAGATGACACATTATTAAACAGAGAGGTAGAGAAGCCCCTTATTATTATGTACTTCAATGTGGCTCTGTATTGTCCTACAGTTTGATGCCAGTCCAGAGTCCATTGCTGCACTGACAAAGAAACCAACTGAGAAGCCATCTAAACCACCCATCACTCCCTCCTCCTCTTCCTCCTCTCTAGCTGGCAAGAAGAACAAACGTCGCAGAAACACTGACAAGGAAAACGATAAACCATCTCCAGTGAGTCGCGAGTCTGTTGAGTACCGTCCAACCATGTTTGAGTTGCCCTTGGTGTATGTATATACATAGTTGTATTGTTTGTCTTTGACCATGTTCCTAACCCCTGCATTGAACTTACTTTATGGCGCATGCTCAGGACACTGTGTGTATTACCAGGTTTCCAAACCAAAGCTATATATGGATGTTTGAACTTTAAACTGTGTTACAATAAGCCCTGTAAAATGTCCGAGTGTGTGCTACTGCCGAGTATGTGTGTGTGTGTGTTTGTTTGTGTAGATGACGGAAGAGGGGAAGCCACTTGTAGGGAGAGAGGAGAGGAAGAAGTCCGACAGTGAGCCTGGGGGGAAGGTGAAGACGGAGAAAGTGGAGAGTGTGAAGGGTGACAAGGTGAAGGGGGAGAAGGCGGAGAGTGTGAGGAGTAGTGACAAGGTGAAGGGGGATAAGGGGGACAATGTGAAGGGTGACAAGGTGAAGGGGGAGAATGGGAGAAGTGACAAGGTGAAGGGGGAGAATGGGAGGAGCGACAAGGTGAAGGGGGAGAATGGGAGAAGTGACAAAGTGAAGACGGAGAAGGGGGAGGAGGAGGGGAGGGAGGACGTGAGGAGAGCTGAAGACAGTCTCGAAGTCATCGACAGACAAAGGGAGACGGAGGTGAGAGGTGAACTGTGCCAGTGGTGAAATGTGTGATGGGGTGATCTGTACATGATGCAAGCTTGTTAGAAGATGCTAAGTGTAACGTGTACGTGCGGTTGACTAGAATATGAACGGTTTCTGTTGCATCAACTGGTTTATTGGACCCATATATTATGTGAGACTTTGTTCAAGAAATCTGTTGCCTTATTATGACGGAATTGGGTGTGTGGCCTTGCAGCATTGGTGGATGTCTCTTTTGTAGCTAAATTAGCCATATGGGGGTGTGTCTTTGTTTACATAACACCCATTTCTCTTGCAACCTTGATTAGCCGCGTGAATGTGCCCCACCCTCAGACTCAGGAGGCGGGCAAACAGCAGAAGGTGAAGAAGAAGAAGGTGAAGAAGGTGACGACGGCGGCGGCCATGTCGGGGGGTGTGGTCGTGGGCGGGGGAGGGGGAGAGAAACACTGGAACGATCTATTCACTCTGCCAGAGAGGGAAGGCATGGTCGGAGAGGCAGCTGCTGTGGACTCCACGTGAGTGCTCTCTAATATCTACTCTTCCACTCTGTATCAAATAGCCAATTTCGAGGTTTTTTCATACTTTAGTTTTGGCTTTGTTTACGTACAAGTTTAGGGACTTGCGTGTTGCGTTAGTACTAAGTGTGTCTTAAAAGGGGCCATTTTTGGCGAAACTTTTGCTTTCACACAATTCACACAAGGTTTTTCTTGTGGTGATTTCCAAAACACTACAATAGCCAACCACACAACAATTACGTGCAGTCAAACCATTATTCCTTGTGCTACTCGCCACACAGCTGGCGACCAGATCCCCAGGCCCCGTTCCAGACACCATCCCACCTCCGAGACGCGGTGGAGGAATTCGAACGGTCCCAGGTCCCCGGGCTGGGGCTGTGTCCCAGTTCCGTTCCACCTCCGGGCGACTCCGTTCCGTACGAGAACCAGCAGAGCTCCGAGGACTTGGAGTTCATCTACTCGTATGTTTACTGCTAGTGCAGCATGTGCTCCATACAATTATACCGGGCATGACTACGACTGATACGCTGGCCATAATAATATTAGTGTGCATTGCAGTAGTGTAGACTGTTACCATTGGCTAGTGAAAGTAGTCTGAATTGAGAGATTAGGTTTTTAGCATCGCTATAGAAGGTGTCATTCTCGACAGTGAAAGTGTCGTAACTTCAGTTTCGTTAATGGAGACGAACATTTACTTTTCCATGGTATAGGTAACTATGTCAATCAACAGCAGTATAGTGTGATTCTCGGGCTGTGCTCTATTTAGAACTGATCACAGTCTGCTTGTGCACTACCACAGGTTGTCTAGGCTTTGACTAACCGACATGCATGCAAATACCCAGTACTGTGTACAAATCTATTAGCTTTTGCCTTTGACCTAATCTTGCTAAATTGTAAATAAATGTACACCCGTGCAAGGGTCTCACTGTGTATGAATGGTGCACCACCCTCCCTACTGGGTTGTATCATCTCCTGGTGTGTGTGTGTGTGTCTTGGGGGCTGTCTGTGTGATAGGTTCTTTGCCGAGATATTCAAGACCCACGGCCCACTCAAACCCTCGGACCCCACCCTGAGCGAGAGTCTCTCCCTCCTCCCCGAGGAGAAGAAGATGTTCATCGCAAAGGCCGGCGGGATCCAGGTCTTCCTCCTCCGCTCGCCCCTCTTCTGCTACCACGAGGAACTCATATGCCTCTCAGAGGACTCCCCTGTTGTTGCAGACTCAATCACACTCCAGGCTTCCTCCTCCTCCACCTCCTCCATCTCAGAGCCCCAACCTCTTCTCCCCACTGCTGACGAGGGGGCGGGGCAGGGGGCGGGGCCAGAGTCGGAGCGGAGCAGCTCGTCCAACAGCACGACGAGTGGGACTTCCCCACGAGACACGCCCGCAGACTCCCCGCAAGTGCCAAAGAAGTCTACCACCGATAAACCGAACCATACCACAAGAGACAAAAAATCGACCAAAACGACCACAACAACCACTGCAAGCAACAAAAACACATCCTCTGGAAATGGAACTGGAAATGAAACTGGAAACGAGACTGGAAATGAAACTGCTAATTCTGGACCACACTCACCTATTGATAGTGCAATAGGCTCAACCCCACAGAGTAACATAGCCGTAGTTAGTAGTAGAGTAGATAAAACTGAGCCGACCAATGGAGCTATCAATGAACCGGTGTCTTGTACTAACGAAGTCGTTTACCAGGGGCCCAGCCTCGCCCACCGAGCCATACAGACTGACAGAGTGCTGATGAGTGAACATTGGGTGATGACAGATCCCATACCACTCTCTGAGAACTTCAAGGAGCGCTATGAGATGGTGCTGAGGGAGAAGATAGACCTGAGGGCAAAGCTGGAGGAGAGCGAGGACAGGAGGTTCAAGATGCAGAGGGACCACAAGAGAGAGCTGGAGAAGATGGGAAAGGCCCTACGTACAGAGGCCAGGGAGGTGCGTGAGGAGGGAGGGAGGGAGGGAGGGAGGATAATGTTGGTAAATTCAGTGTGACGAAACAAATGGAGTTTTGCGTTGCCTCTTTCTGCCTTTGGCAGTACTGTATCAGAGTATAGATGGATCATGTTTTAAGATCCACAAGTGTCACTGAGACCTGTTTGTGTCCCATTTCATCTGTGAGAACGCTTTTCGCCCTCGAAAGTTTTTTTGCTCTGCATTACAACTCGAGTGTCATGTGTGTACTATTGGTACTATCTACATGTTGACACTGTGACGATGGTGTTGCAGGAGGCGCAGACGAAGGTGAGGGAGATGGAGGTGAGGCTCCTGGAGGAGAAGAACAGGGGGTTGCAGGAGAAGAAGGAGCAGGCCGACCAGGCCAAGGCCCTCAAGGCCGAGATCAAGTCTCTCAACGATAAGGTTGACAGGTGAGGCCACCTCTTTCCTCCTCCACATGTGAATCTTCATCTGAAAGTTACACATGTGTTGTAAAGTACATAAGTAAAGTGTATGTAAACCTACCAACTCCAATGGATTCGCTTCTCCAAATAGAGAGCACTATTGTAAAACGTATCGAGACGTGTTGTGTTTTCAACTGTGTCCACAGGATGAAGAAGGACATTGCAAAGAGAGACCAGAAATTGGAAAGCTTACATCTAAAACATCAGACCGAGTTGTAAGTCATCACCCAGCTAATAGTGTTTAATGGGTCTTACATGCGAGCATAAAATAGATACCATGCAATATCTTTGATGAAAGGTGCAACTGTTTTTTGCAGAAGGTGTCAGTGTTTCAACATGTGACTAAGCCTTATTTACATACAGAGAGAGGTTGTCCGTGGAGCACCGTAAGCTAGAGGACCGACTGCGGCTGAGCCAGGACCACGTCCACCTGGCCACACAGAGAGCCATAACTGCCGAGGTGGACATACTCCAGTTGAGGGTGGAGAACGTCAAGAGACCAGGAGAGGCCAGGCTCATGGAGATAGACCGCATCTGGTACACATACACACTCACCTGGAGGGTGTATACGCTGTGTTGTATATACATAAGTGGGCTTGTGTGAGAACAATATCGGTGTAAGGCTAGCTGTATTTTTGCTTACTGGCGACTTGGTGCCAGAGATACTAAAGACCCCGACCATTCATGTGTGAATTTATCCCTCTCCTATCTTCCTCCCTCCCTCTCCCCTCCTCTCTCTCCACTGCAGTACGCACATTCCTCCAGCCAGTGAGCTCCACAGAGAGTGGCTGGCCTACCAGGAGAAGCTCAGGACTGCCCTCGAGTGTTTTCAGGTCAGTTTAGCTCGTTCTGTGTTCTGTGTAGATGGCAGCTCGTTCCGCTGCTGTGTAGATGGCAACCGAGGAGCAGATACAGGCAGTGAAGGCCGGGAGAGAGCTGTCCACCATTGAGAAGATCCCTAACCCCAGTGTCCCGCTCCCCGCACACCTTGCCTTCGTGAGTCCCACCCCACTACAGTAAACCTGTACAGAGTGAACTTACACCTTGGTGTCTCTTGGTGACTGTTCTATTGCTTATTACCCCCCTCGCTAAAGCCTATCACTTGCACTTCTTTTAGTCCGTCCATAGACCAATTACAAACATGCACAGTATGTGTGTACAATTTAGCACCAACCTCCACGCGTACTTAGCCTATAAGAGAAAAGAACGGACAATGTGATTGCTCCCTGCAGCGAGGAGTTCCAATGATTCGGCCTCCGTTTCCTGGACCGATGAGAATGCCAATGAGGGGGCCGCCTCCCCTCTCGATGGGGATCCGACCAATGATGGATGGGCAGCCCCCTCCCATGGGGTTCCCCGGAGGACACCCCGGGGTAATTCCACCCCACCCCATGTCTCTACAGCAACAACCCCGCATGGAGGTACGTACGTATGAAACACTTCCATTGATGTTGGTTATCAGAATAGATTTGCATTAGAGGATTGAAATTTGAAAATACGCATGCAGTCCATGTTAGACATGTTAGTACATATGTGTAGTAACATGTTTTTAAGCTCACTGAGAGTTGCTCTTGCTCTTGATAAAGTGTGCAGTATTTCCCCATCCACCTACGTACTTCGCAACTAATGGCACGTGGTGTCACAATAGAGCAGCGTATGGTGCGCAAAGTTTTCAACACTCAACTTCTCCTTGTTTCATGTTCTCTGCTTCTCGATTCTGTCTTTGTAACTTGTAGTCTCCATTACCTCACTCTGTCCAGCAGGTACCCGGAGCAATGGCTGCAGCTCTACCGCAAGGCCTCGGAGGACCAGACCCCACCCTCGCCACACCCGCCACCGCCCACCTCCCACACCAGTCTCCGCTCTCCCTCCCTCCCCAACCTCCCCCCACCCACCATCCTCCACCCACCTCCTCTGGGGGAGAGAGTGAGCAGCCACCGCGGGGCTCCAAGTCTTCCTTTGACAGAATCGTGGAGAAACTGGTCCCCTTCTACCCCAATTACTCAAGGTGAGTATGTCTATTACTCCAGGTCAGTATATTTACCCCAATTACTTCAGGTTACCCCACACTACCCCAATTACATAGTGCAAATGCAATAATTATAG